AGTAAACAATCAGTACACACAACTCATTAAAATATCTTAACACTCAAATATCAGATATTGTCAAGATAAAACAAGATAAGGCAAGAAATCAATAAAAGTATACTATAAATAGGAAAGTATAACTAGGACATAACTTGAGAAAAATAAAATAAATTACTATCAATACCTAACAAATGAAATATTTCTATATGGTTCCTCTCAATTTTAGTGTATATTTTAAATTATAAGTCATTTAATAAAAAAAGAAGAAAATTTCAGTTTAAAAGTACCGAGTTTATATAATTAAAAGAACTTACAATGAATCTCATTATCAAAGTAGCATTAAGGAATTAAAAACAAAAAATAACACTCAAACAAAAAACAAAACAAAAGCTGGTTTCAATTTTCAGCATTCATTCTATGTGGTCTTGGGTTTGAAATTCTACCTAGAAACCGTTAAAATCTGCCTTTGCCTCAACAGCAAATAAAGTAATTCCAACACAAATTAGATTTGAAGGAGGTAATTTTCACAAGCTTCATCAAATTACATTTATGTTTTAAGTTGCACCACAACATACATGTACCAAATAAGGAATATTTTAAAATATTAGAATAACTTAACAATAAGTCTGTTAAATTTTGTACGAGCATTTTATCAGGAAATATGAAAATTACCCAGCAATGACCCAAACTATTCCATATCCAAGGGGAAAGTTACCTCCCCTTCCTAGCATTTTGAAGAAACAATTTTATCTAGTATATCTAACTGTGATAGATGTTGTAATGTAACATGTATAAGGTTTTTTTAAAGTAAAAATCGACTTGATGAATACAGAAATTGTAATAAAATGAGAAATATAACATTCATCTGGTATTTGCACTCCTGTTGAATCACATAAATCTTGTCATGGTTTTAGTTCAGTGCATTTAGTGAGTTTATACAAAATTGTGATCGAGTAGCTATACAGCCATTGAATCAAGTATGAATATGATGTTGGGATAACCCTTTTGCTATCAAAATGAGAAGCTGAAATATTGCATATGATGATCATATCTATCGATGTTCTTCGAACGGTTTTCGTCAGAAGTTGATTCAAATAAAAGAAAATTTTTAAAGTTAAAACATAGAATCTTTAACATACTAAAATCCCCGATTAAAACAGGAAACTACATTATTGAAAACTTTTGATATACATTGTAAATCTAAATTTATTTCATAGAAAATAACTCTTTCAGTTAAAATATCACTTCAATCTATTGAATCCTCAGGAATCCAATATATATAGCTACAACTAAAATTGAAATAGATAACAATTTGAAGGAAGATAACAAGAAGACTCAAATATCATACAGAGAAATGTAGAATGTGAAAACATGAAAAAAACCCAGTATCCTCTTCTGAACCAATGTAGAATTGGAAACTTTACAACAGATGAAACCTTTGATTTAAATGTTTAGGTTTCCAAAAACAGCAAAATGTGTTTCTTTCAACCGAGTTCTTGAAAACCAGTAAAAATATCAATGACTTGTTGATATTCAGTAGCTAGGGATGGATGTATGGTGAGAATGTTTGAGCAATTACATTGCAGGTTCTGTAGTGATGGATACATATCATACAATGTCCATAAACTTTAATCAAACCTTCATGCTTTGTTAACTCGTGTTGTGTTCCATGCTTTAACAGAAAGTGCATATGTTTTTTTATGGAGGACACAAGATACACATCTTAATTGAAAATAAATACAAAATTAATGATTCATTCTCTTATATATAAGAAGACAATGTAAACAATATATCACTGGTCATTTACAATGCGTTTGTAAGGATGCACCGTCATACATACCATGGACTGTCCGGTGGACGTTGAAACTTTGGGTAAGTGTGTTATCCCGCATTCTCTACTTTGATACTTTAACTTAACCTTAAAAGAGAAACTTATGTCTAGGGGGAAACAACTTCTGTCCTATTTGGAAGGTTAGTCCTGTGTCTGAAGGAGAAATAACTTCTGTACTATTTGGAAGGTTAGTCCTGTGTCTGAAGGGGAAACAACTTTCGTCCTATTTGGAAGGTTAGTCCTGTGTCTGAAGGAGAAACAACTTCTGTACTATTTGGAAGGTTAGTCCTGTCTGAAGGAGAAACACATTGTGTCCTGTTTGGAAGGTTAGTCCTGTGTTTGAAGGAGAAATAACTTCTGTACTATTTGGAAGGCTAGTCCTGTGTCTGAAGGAGAAACAACTTCTGTACTATTAGGAAGGTTAGTCCTATGTCTGAAGGAGAAACGACTTCTGTCCTTTTTAGAAGGTTAGTCATGTGTCTGAAGGGGAAACAACTTTCGTCCTATTTGGAAGGTTAGTCCTGTGTCTGAAAGGAAAACAACTTCTGTCCTATTTGGAAGGTTAACCTGTGTCTGAAGGGAAAACAAATTCTGTTCTATTTAAAGGTTAGTCCTGTGTCTGAAGGAGATTGGAAGGTTAGTCCTGTGTCTGAATGAGAAACACATTGTGTCCTGTTTGGAAGGTTAGTCCTGAGTTTGAAGGAGAAATAACTTCTGTCCTATTTGGAAGGTTAGCCCTGTGTCTGAAGGAGAAACAACCTCTGTCCTTTTTAGAAGGTTAGTCCTGTTTCTTAAGGAGAAACAACTTCTGTACTATTAGGAAGGTTCGGCCTTTGTCTGAAGGAGAAACGACTTCTGGCCTATTTGGAAGGTTAGTCCTGTGTCTGCAGGAGAAACACATTGTGTCCTGTTTGGAAGGTTGGTCCTGTGTCTGAAGCGGGAAACAACTTCTGTCCTATTTGGAAGGCTATGTGTCTGAAGGAGAAATAACTTCTGTACTATTTGGAAGGCTAGTCCTGTGGCTGAAGGAGAAACAATTTCTGTACTATTAGGAAGGTTAGTCCTGTGTCTGAAGGAGAAACGACTTCTGGCCTATTTGGAAGGTTAGTCCTGTGTCTGAAGTAGAAATAATTTCTGTACTATTTGGAAGGTTAGTCATGTGTCTGACGGGGAAACAACTTCTGTACTATTTGGAAGGCTAGTCCTGTGTCTTAAGGAGAAACAACTTCTGTACTATTTGTAAGGTTAGTCCTGTCTGAAGGAGAAACAATTTCTGTACTATTAGGAAGGTTAGTCCTGTGTCTGAATGAGAAACACATTGTGTCCTGTTTGGAAGGTTGGTCTTGTGTATGAAGCGGGAAACAACTTCTGTCCTATTTGGAAGGTTAACCTGTGTCTGAAGGGAAAACAAATTCTGTTCTATTTAAAGGTTAGTCCTGTGTCTGAAGGGAACACAACTTCTGTCCTATTTGGAAGGTTAACCTGTGTCTGAAGGGAAAACAAATTCTGTTCTATTTAAAGGTTAGTCCTGTGTCTGAAGGAGATTGGAAGGTTAGTCCTGTGTCTGCAGGAGAAACGACTTCTGTCCTTTTTAGAAGGTTAGTCATGTGTCTGAAGGGGAAACAACTTCTGTACTATTTGGAAGGTTAGTCCTGTGTGAAGGTTAGTCCTGTGTTTGAAGGAGAAATAGCTTCTGTACTATTTGGAAGGCTAGTCCTGTGGCTGAAGGAGAAACAATTTCTGTACTATTTGGCAGGCTCGTCCTGTGTCTGACGGAGCAACGCCTTCTGTCCTTTTTAGAAGGTTAGTCATGTGTCTGAAGGAGAAACGACTTCTGTCCTATTTGCAAGGTTAGTCCTGTGTCTGAAGGGGAAACAACTTTCGTCCTATTTGGAAGGTTAGTCCTGTGTGAAGGTTAGTCCTGTGTTTGAAGGAGAAATAACTTCTGTACTATTTGGAAGGCTAGTCCTGTGTCTGACGGAGAAACGACTTCTGTCCTATTTGCAAGGTTAGTCCTGTGTCTGAAGGAGAAAAGACTTCTGTCCTTTTTAGAAGGTTAGTCCTGTGTCTTAAAAAGAAACACTTTTGCCCTGTTAAGAAAATAAGTCTTGTGTCTTGAGGAAAAATGAAACACAAGAAAGTAAGGTTAACCTGTGTCTGAAGGGAAAACAAATTCTGTTCTATTTAAAGGTTAGTCCTGTGTCTGAAGGGGAAACAACTTTCGTCCTATTTGGAAGGTTAGTCCTGTGTGAAGGTTAGTCCTGTGTTTGAAGGAAAAATAACTTCTGTACTATTTGGAAGGCTAGTCCTGTGTCTGACGGAGAAACGACTTCTGTCCTATTTGCAAGGTTAGTCCTGTGTCTGAAGGGAAAAGAACTTCTGTCCTATTTGGAAGGCTAGTCCTGACTGAAGGAGAAACAATTTCTGTACTATTAGGAAGGTTAGTCCTATGTCTGAAGGAGAAACGACTTCTGGCCTATTTGGAAGGTTAGTCCTGTGTCTGAAGGAGAAATAATATCTGTACTATTTGGAAGGTTAGTCATGTGTCTGACGGGGAAACAACTTCTGTACTATTTGGAAGGTTAGTCATGTGTCTGAAGGGGAAACAACTTCTGTCCTATTTGGAAGGCTAGACCTGTGTCTGAAGGAGAAACAATTTCTGTACTATTTGGCAGGCTAGTCCTGTGTCTGAAGGAGAAAAGACTTCTGTCCTTTTTAGAAGGTTAGTCATGTGTCTGAAGGGGAAACAACTTTCGTCCTATTTGGAAGGTTAGTCCTGTGTGAAGGTTAGTCCTGTGTTTGAAGGAGAAATAGCTTCTGTACTATTTGGAAGGCTAGTCCTGTGTCTTAAGGAGAAACAACTTCTGTACTATTTGTAAGGTTAGTCCTGTCTGAAGGAGAAACAATTTCTGTACTATTAGGAAGGTTAGTCCTATGTCTGAAGGAGAAACGACTTCTGGCCTATTTGGAAGGTTAGTCCTGTGTCTGCAGGAGAAACACATTGTGTCCTGTTTGGAAGGTTAGTCCTGTCTTTGAAGGAGAAATAACTTCTGTACTATTTGGAAGGTTAGTCCTGTGTGAAGGTTAGTCCTGTGTTTGAAGGAGAAATAGCTTCTGTACTATTTGGAAGGCTAGTCCTGTGGCTGAAGGAGAAACAATTTCTGTACTATTTGGACGGCTAGTCCTGTGTCTGAAGTAGAAACGACTTCTGTCCTTTTTAGAAGGTTAGTCATGTGTCTGAAGGAGAAACGACTTCTGTCCTTTTTAGAAGGTTAGTCATGTGTCTGAAGGAGAAACGACTTCTGTCCTTTTTAGAAGGTTAGTCATGTGTCTGAAGGAGAAACGACTTCTGTCCTATTTGCAAGGTTAGTCCTGTGTCTGAAGGGAAAACAACTTCTGTCCTTTTTAGAAGGTTAGTCCTGTGTCTGAAGGAGAAACAACCTCTGTCCTTTTTAGAAGGTTAGTCCTGTGTCTTAAAAAGAAACACTTTTGCCCTGTTAAGAAAATAAGTCTTGTGTCTTGAGGAAAAATGAAACACAAGAAAGTTACATGTAACTGCCTCATAGCACTTTCCATTTTATAACATAACTGGACCTTTTTGCATTAATATCCTTGCTTTAGATAGCTAGACCTACTATTGATTGATGGTTAATGTGTTGTTGTACAGTTGAGCCTACTGGATGTGGTTGGACTGTTTAGTTTAATGTGTTGTTGTACAGTTGAGCCTACTGGATGTGGTTGGACTGTTGAGTTAAATGTGTTGTTGAACAGTTGAGCCTACTGGATGTGGTTGGACTGTTTATTTAATGTGTTGTTGTACAGTTGAGCCTACTGGATGTGGTTGGACCATTGAGCCTACTGGATGTTGTTGGACCGTTGAGCCTACTGGATGTGGTTGGACCGTTGAGCCTACTGGATGTGGTTGGACCGTTAAGCCTACTGGATGTGGTTGGACCGTTAAGCCTACTGGATGTGGTCGGACCGTTGAGCCTACTGGATGTGGTTGGACCATTGAGCCTACTGGATGTGGTTAGACTGGTTGGTCTGCGGCAAGTGGTCCTCAGCCTCCAACGCCAATATCTGATCATAACTCATCTGTTCACAGCTGCCACCGCGACGTATTTTAATGAGAGCACAGATTTTGTCCCAGTGCCGACGGTTATCTTCCACAGCTACTTTAACACTGTTTGCCGCAGGAAAGAGTTCAGCAAGCACCCTGTGAATAACATAGTTCTTTCAATTACAATAAGTTTTATGACTTCTATTTACTCATAAAGGTTATCATAATCATATATACTTATATACAACAACAAATGTACATGACTGCATCCTTCAAATACAATTCAAAATTACATTTTAGTTAACTGTTTGAATTTGATTCTTATTCCATGATTTCCTGTTATATCTGTACATAGTAATCATTCACAATTTAAGAAAACTGTTCAGGATTGAGTATCTGCCAGAACCATTAAAATATGTCAGTTTTCAATATGTTTCGGTGGCTGTGTCCTGCAACCCAAATATATTTAAGTCAAACTCACTTAAATTGCAATATTAGCATTGAAGCAATCACAATTACCTTTACAGGTATTTGCCAAAAAAAACCAGAAAATTTATTTATAGAGACTGTGTGATCTTGTCTATTCAACTATTGACCTCCAAAATAATGTTAAACTAAGAAGCAGTATCACATACAGGGAGATAAGGCCATAATAAATTATTTGCTAGATTCTCATCCCCGCCCGCCCCCTCTTTGAGGCCCCGCCCCAATTTTTTTTATTTGCGAAAAAAAAACGATAATACGAAATCCGGATTTTTTTCCCCCGTTTTCCGCTTCAAAAATTAGTTTTATATTATCAATTTCCGGTTGTAGAAAACTCGTCGTCTGCAAGTATGGTTTTTGTAATTCTAAAGCTGAAACGGCAACTTGCCATTCTTAAAGATTGGTATGGGTGTTCAGTAGCCGATACTAAAACATTAATGCAAGTCTTTCATGAATTAGCCGAAGGAACAATTGACAAATCTGCGCCCGTCGAGTGTGGGAACAGGGCCGTTGTGTCGGCCGGTAAATCGAAAGTGGAACTGACCCAGTGTGATGGCGCATGTACGGTGGGGGAAGTGGTGTCGTACCACGGAGCTTATTTAGAATTTAATATTGATGCTGATACAGAAGAGCAGTCGGCAACTGCCAGTGCGAAATCCGACGCATTTACAATTTTAATGTCGGGATTTTCTAAAGCAACAATGGCAGGGTCACTGTAATTAAAAGAGGACAATATGTGAAAAAGTAATGTGGTGTGTATTCATGTGGACTGAACAGGGAAATGGTGTTCAATGTGTATACTGCATACTCAAAGTTGTTATTAACAAAAAATAAAGATAAATGTACATTGAACATGCGCCTTTATTGCACTATTTTAACACATTTGCAACCATTTCAAATTTTAGGAAAAATAAAAAATAAAATTCGCCCCCCCGCCCCAATTTTGAAAAGAATTTGGATGAGAATCTAGCAATTAATTTATTATGGCCTAACAGATTGACAGCAAAAACAAATATTAAAAAAATTAATTGATGAAACTGCATACTTGTAAACTGGTAGGGCAATATGGTCTAGGAAGCCTATTTGTAAGTCAGGTATACGCGCTCTTTCCCTATCCATCATCTCTATAGGCTCTCGGCCCATTGACTTCTCCATGTCCCCCTGGGAGAAAAACTCCTTGTAGATCAACGCCTGAAAGAGTCATATCATGTTTGATTGAAAAAGGCAAAGCATATATAACGTCATTATTTGCCTTTTTCAGTCATTTATGTGGCTTACAAAATTGAATATATTAAAATCTTTAACATAACATGTGATACAGTTTATTGGTAGGTAATGATATGTGAGACACCTACAGCTATATGTTTGGTAGATAATACTATGTGCCATACCATGTATATGATTTGTAATGATATTTGAGACACCTTCGGCTATATGCTTGGTAGATAATGATATGTGTGATACCATGTATATTATTTGTAATGATATGTGAGACACCTACGGCTATATATTTGGTAGATAATGCTATGTGTGATACCATGTATATTATTTGTAATGATATGTGAGACACCTACAGCTATATGTTTGGCAGATAATGATATGTGAGACACCCACAGCTATATGTTTGGTAGATAATGATATGTGAGACACCTAAAGCTACATGTTTGGTAGATAATGATATGTGTGATACCATGTATATTATTTGTAATGATATGTGAGACACCTAAAGCTATATGTTTGGCAGATAATGATATGTGAGACACCTACGGCTATATATTTGGTAGATAATGCTATGTGTGATACCATATATATGATCTGTAATGATATGTGAGACCCCTACGGCTATATGTTTGGTAGATAATCCTATGTGTGATACCATGTATATGATTTGTAGTGATATGTGAGACACCTAAAGCTATATGTTTGGTAGATAATGCTATGAGTGATACCATGTATATGATTTGTAATGATATTTGAGACACCTTCGGCTATATGCTTGGTAGATAATGATATGTGTGATACCATGTATATTATTTGTAATGATATGTGAGACACCTAAAGCTACATGTTTGGTAGATAATGATATGTGTGATACCATGTATATGATTTTTTGCCTTTTTCAGTCATTTATGTGGCTTACAAAATTGAATATATTAAAATCTTTAACATAACATGTGATACAGTTTATTGGTAGGTAATGATATGTAAGACACCTACAGCTATATGTTTGGTAGATAATGATATGTATGATACCATGTATATGATTTGTAATGATATTTGAGACACCTTCGGCTATATGCTTGGTAGATAATGATATGTGTGATACCATGTATATGATCTGTAATGATATTTGAGACACCTACAGCTATATGTTTGGTAGATAATGCTATGAGTGATACCATGTATATGATTTGTAATGCTATGTAAGACACCTACGGCTATATGTTTGGTAGACAATACTATGTGCGATACCATGTATATGTTTTGTAATGATATGTGAGACACCTAAAGCTACATGTTTGGTAGATAATGATATGTGTGATACCATGTATATTATTTGTAATGATATGTGAGACACCTAAAGCTATATGTTTGGTAGATAATGATATGTATGATACCATGTATATGATTTGTAATGATATTTGAGACACCTTCGGCTATATGCTTGGTAGATAATGATATGTGTGATACCATGTATATTATTTGTAATGATATGTGAGACACCTAAAGCTATATTTTTGGTAGATAATGATATGTGTGATACCATGTATATGATCTGTAATGATATTTGAGACACCTACAGCTATATGTTTGGTAGATAATGATATGTATGATACCATGTATATGATTTGTAATGATATGCGAGACACCTAAAGCTATATGTTTGGTAGATAATGATATGTATGATACCATGTATATGATTTGTAATGATATGTGGAACACCTAAAGCTATATGTTTGGTAGATAATGATATGTGAGACACCTACGGCTATATGTTCGGTAGATAATGCTATGTGTGATACCATATATATGATCTGTAATGATATGTGAGACACCTACGGCTATATATTTGGTAGATAATGCTATGTGTGATACCCTGTATATGATTTGTAATGATATGTGAGACACCCACGGCTATATGTTTGGTAGATAATACTGTGTGTGTTACCATGTATATGATTTGTAATGATATTTGAGACACCTTCGGCTATATGCTTGGTAGATAATGATATGTGTGATACCATGTATATTATTTGTAATGATATGTGAGACACCTAAAGCTACATGTTTGGTAGATAATGATATGTGTGATACCATGTATATGATTTTTTGCCTTTTTCAGTCATTTATGTGGCTTACAAAATTGAATATATTAAAATCTTTAACATAACATGTGATACAGTTTATTGGTAGGTAATGATATGTGAGACACCTACAGCTATATGTTTGGTAGAGAATACTATGTGCGATACCATGTATTTAATTTGTAATGATATGTGAGACACCTAAAGCTACATGTTTGGTAGATAATGATATGTGTGATACCATGTATATTATTTGTAATGATATGTGAGACACCTACGGCTATATATTTGGTAGATAATGCTATGTGTGATACCATGTCTATGATCTGTAATGATATGTGAGACACCTACGTCTATATGTTTGGTAGATAATGCTATGTGCGATTCCATGTATATGATTTGTAATGATATGTGGAACACCTAAAGCTATATGTTTGGTAGATAATCATATGTGCGATACCATGTATATGATTTGTAATGATATGTGAGACACCTACGGCTATATGTTTGGTGGAGTCCCATGGTTTCGTCTGGTCAGACAGATCAGAGGCTGTCATCAGAAGACATAGCAGCAGTTTGTGGTGTTTGGTGTTCTCTTTGTCATAGCCAGCTGTTAAACAAAACCAACATGAGTTTGATAAAACCACAGTGCATCATTCAGTAGTTATTTAACCATATCAATGATATTTTAAGTACAGCTATCTTATAAGGGATTATAAAATGATTCAGTTACACTCCAGCCTCACCCTTTATAGTTCTGACTGATTCCTCTATTACAGTAATATTATATCATTCCTTTTTCTACTTTGTTAATAAATTAATCTATTCCAAAAAACTAAAATGTAGGCCATCATATTCATATCATTTAGGTGTGATAAATATTACAAGATTTCACTGACAGGTAGAGCTGCATGTTTTCCTCGAGTTATCTCCCCTACAACACAACAGTGGACACTTACTTTTTGCCATTGTTTCGATGTTCTTCAATATTCGTAAGTGATGCGCTAAGTCAGTGGCTAATATGATGTCCCTCATCAAATCTAAAGCTTGCTGATAATCCTAAAAAGTAAAACCAAAACGTTATTAATTCCATAGTCACCAGAAGCTTGAGACATCCAAAACCAAAATCGCAATGGTCTTTTGTATCCCCTGTTCCCGTATCACCAAGCAAGAGGCTCATAGACCTTAATTATACACCTATAGTTTTACTTCTTATTTGTATTTGCAATTTGCTTTGCTTTATGATTTGATTTCAACATATAAAACACCTATGGCTTTTAAAGTGGGTCAATATCTCCCATGTAAGCCAGGTACACGTCAAATATGATGCCTCTTGGTTCAATATTAGTTATCTTCATTTCTTTAAAATTTTATTAAATCAAGGGTTAAATATACAAATGATAAAACAGATTTGTGATTTACATGTACTTCTACCAAAATTGGGCAAGAATACCGTTTGTCAAATACAGCCCTGGCCTCTTACATACAAAGTGACTGAGAGATAATAAAGAAAAGAGAGATCCAACACTCCTTATGTAGAAAATGCGGTAGTGATCCGGGGTGGATCCACAGGGGATTTACTAGTGATCCTAACTATAGATACATTANACTATGTGCGATACCATGTATATGATTTGTAATGATATGTGAGACACCTAAAGCTATATGTTTGGTAGATAATGATATGTGTGATACCATGTATATGATTTGTAATGATATGTGAGACACCTAAAGCTATATGTTTGGTAGATAATGATATGTGTGATACCATGTATATGATTTGTAATGATATGTGAGACACCTAAAGCTATATGTTTGGTAGATAATGATATGTGTGATACCATGTATATGATTTGTAATGATATGTGAGACACCTAAAGCTATATGTTTGGTAGATAATGATATGTGTGATACCATGTATATGATTTGTAATGATATGTGAGACACCTAAAGCTATATGTTTGGTAGATAATGATATGTGTGATACCATGTATATGATTTGTAATGATATGTGAGACACCTAAAGCTATATGTTTGGTAGATAATGATATGTGTGATACCATGTATATGATTTGTAATGATATGTGAGACACCTAAAGCTATATGTTTGGTAGATAATGATATGTGTGATACCATGTATATGATTTGTAATGATATGTGAGACACCTAAAGCTATATGTTTGGTAGATAATGATATGTGTGATACCATGTATATGATTTGTAATGATATGTGAGACACCTAAAGCTATATGTTTGGTAGATAATGATATGTGTGATACCATGTATATGATTTGTAATGATATGTGAGACACCTAAAGCTATATGTTTGGTAGATAATGATATGTGTGATACCATGTATATGATTTGTAATGATATGTGAGACACCTAAAGCTATATGTTTGGTAGATAATGATATGTGTGATACCATGTATATGATTTGTAATGATATGTGAGACACCTAAAGCTATATGTTTGGTAGATAATGATATGTGTGATACCATGTATATGATTTGTAATGATATGTGAGACACCTAAAGCTATATGTTTGGTAGATAATG